GCATGTTATTCAACCAAAGACATTTGATGCTTGAGATGTGTTAGCAAATGAACATTCATCTAGACATAGAGCTTGTTTAGAATCGTATCTAGGCCTAAGGCAGACAGTTTAATTGATAGCTTGCCATCTTAGTTTGAAACCTGATCACCCAAGGTCTAAATCCCAATACCCATGAGTTCTCCTTCCCAATAGTTTAAAAATATCATTTTTGTTATTTGCATTCTAGTTTTAGTTAACTTCAAAACCAACCAAACATTCGATTGCACTTAGATTAAGTTAGTACTTGCATTCTCGGTGCTTTTAAATCCCTCAGAACTGGTTCGACAACTTACTTCACTATACAACATTTGACTAGGAGCCTTGAAAACTCCTAACATCACTACTATATCAGTTTCCAAACAAACCTAAAGAGTACTACAACTTTAATAAGATAGATTAGAATTTTATCCGAAGATTCGTGCGGATATATATTTTATTTTATTTTGACTTTAATATTATCATAAATTTTTAGATATATGATTTCTATTTTAGTGTTATATAGTGTGTAACTCTTTAGTTTTATTGCTTATGTTTCTTATTAGATTATTAATTATATTCATTTATTTTATTTTTTATTAATTACGTTTTTGAGTTTGGTAAAATATATTTATAATATGATATAATCAAATAAAAAAATCTTCTTTAAAATATATCTAAAAATTTATTCAAATGAAAGTATTTTTTGAAAACTAATTATGTTAATTTAATATAATTTTTCTTATTTAATTTATATAATACATTCCTTCTAATATAATATAGACTATAACAAAATTTATAAAATGAAGATACATTTTTATTTTTTGTTTCATAATCTGAAGTAATCACATAAAAATCTTCTTTAAAATATGTTTTTTAAAATATATAGTTGTAGAATAAAAAGTTTAACATATGTTAATAACTTTATTTTTTATAAGAGTATTACATAGTTCAAATTTTTAACCCGTGTTAGTGGTAGATAATAATTAATTTAAATGAAAATCTTTTTTTAAATAAAGATATTATTTTCCAATTTAATATAATTTATCTTGTTAAATTTAAATAATAATTCTATTTTAATATAATACACTACAACAAAATTTAGAAAATAATATATATATATATATATATATATATATATATATATATATATATATATATATATATATTTGTTCTATAATAAAATTTTATTATCATTAGTTACGAAATTAAATAATTTATTTAACAAAAATTATTTCATATTTTTAGTAGGATTTTGTTAGATCTTTTTTAACAGATTTTTCTATAACTAAAAATCAATACTATTAAAACAGAAGTCACAACCTTGATTCATGTGTGATTTTTTTTAAAAATAGATTATTCCTTAAAAAGATTATGAAGATTATCAAATGTTACATAATTTAGTGATAATATCTTTAAATATCTTTATTTTTCTATTTGAAATACAAATAAAATAAATCCAACAAAAATATTATGGCATCTTTTTAAATTGTATTTCAATAATAGTATCCCATATGCTTATCTTTTATTTGAAATACAAATGTTTTTGTTTAAGATATTAAAATTTATCTACATATCACTATATATTCCTAAATTCTAAATAAAAAACTATATACTAGAGTTTGACCCACACAATATTTTTCATTTTATAAATATAACACTTTGATAGTATTATAAAATATATAAATATATTATTTACATTTAATGTTATATATTATATAACTCTATAATTTAGTTGTTTAAATTTCTTATTCTTCATTATTAATATATAGTAATATTTTTATATTTTTTAATTTATATTCTTATTGATTGTTATAACTTAATAATATATTTTTGAGTTTGGTACATAAATTATAATCTGAAATAATCAAATATATAATCTTCTTTAATATAGAGTTTTGGTTTCTGGAATTTGCATACAATAAATTTTAACATTTATTTAGATACACTATAGATAAATAATTGTTAATGATAATTTATATTTTCATGTTGTGTTTAAAAATGATACTTTAACATCTATTATTTTAGTATTTTGAGAGATTTTATAAGTAAATATATTATAATTTCATGATAAATTGTTTTTATAAACTATAAATAAAAAGAAAACCCGCACGGTTGTGCGGGTCGAGATCTAGTAAAAATTAAATTTATAGTTATAACTGATTTATTATTAATATTTTAATTGAATATTATGTAACTAATGTTATAGACCTAGAGTGACTTTTGTACAGTAGATAAAATCAATGTTAATAGAGTAGAAGGGATATGATTTTAATATTTTTACAATTATATAAAGTCTTATTAATGAGTATTTGGTAGTCAACTAGTCATCAATATTTCAAGCACACAAATTTATAATTGTTGTACTAATTGTACAAATTGGTTAATAACATTTAAAACCTCAATCACCCGTACTGCAACAGCTGCGTTTACATCCCTAATTTTTCTCAGGGTTTATTAATCTCCAGTTTTTTTCTCTTTAGCATCAAGTCTGTTCTCACATCCAGTAAAATCAACCTTCTTCACCTTTCTCTCTTCCAGCAATTACATAAGAGAAAGGTGAAGAAGACGCTGTCCTCGCTTATGCTACCAACCTGCAGCACATTTTTATTATCCAAATCTCATCACCGTTTGGTCCATTTCACAGCTAAAGACCCCATTGTGTAAGCTAGACATGTTTGGTGGTGTGCTTACTATTTCTTCAGGTAAAGGATTGTGGCAATTATGCCTACTGGTCCTCTCTTGAGCCGTTCACATACGTATAAGCCTGACTCTGTATGTGATGTCTCTAGTAGATGTGTGACTAACCACTCGAACTCTTACATTGGGATGGGGACAACAACTTGAGACATGAAATTGGGGAATATTAGACCAACCTTTCTTGTGATAAAAGGGTAAACCGTTGATTGGAACCGACTTGTAACCAATGGCTTTCAGCCCCATACTCCAAAAACCGACCATGCTTTCATTCAATTTTTTTCACTGAGAACCTTACATTAGAGTTCACATTATATTATTAACTACTGTACAATAAACTGCAAAATGTTCACTAAAGAAGTGCCAAATGCAGCAGGCAAAACAGTGTAGAAAGTAAATAAAAACTAATACTAAAAGCCCAATATATGATTAAAATATGCAAGATACCTAGAACATCTCGAAGCTCTTTAGCAGTCAGTGCTGCTTGAACTGGTCCCCGTCTCCCAATGAAATACACCTTCATGCACACGTTACAGCTATGTGTTAAATTCCCATAGAAATAGCAACGCTTAACAACCTGTAGAAAGCAAACATTATGGTGCTCAACGAAGATCTCTTGTAAGTTTTTTCTCCAATCTGCATAATTCACCATTCACCTTATTCGGAAATTGAAACCCTCCTAGTGTAGAAATAGCATAAGATTCGAACCTCAGACCTGGTGTAGAAACCTTTAAACCTGGAAAAATATAGACGAAGTTCTCTATTCTTGTGTAGGGTTGTAAAGGATTGCCTTTAATTTAATATTCGGTTTAGTTCAATCTAATTAGTTTGGTTAAAATGAATAATTCTGGTCTTTTATTTGGAACGCCATGGAAGGTTCTCTTAACGGAAAATATATACACGAAGTTTGAACAAATTAACGGAAGTAATTTTATCGTGATACCGCTGTTAATTCACATCCAATGTTGTTTATGACATTTTAACTCTTCTGTTTAGTAAAATGTATACTAGAAGCATATATAAGTCTATTGGTAATTTTAAAGCTAGTAGTCTAGGCTAATTACCAAATGATCACGTCTTGTGCATTATTCTGAAAGGTTCCAAAAACTTGTTTACTAGTTTTACAAAACCATGTGATTTTTCTTTTACAACCACTGTGTGATTTTTGTGTGTGTTTTTTTTTTGCCTTCACGTATATGGTATTAAATCTTTTTTAATATTTTTTTTTTTTTTTGCAATACTCCATTTTAATCATGTTTAATTATATAAAAAATTTAGACAATTGATCAAAATTATAAGTGCATGACATGTAGTCTAATCAATTTTAAAAAAATCTCTTCACAAACGCTAACGTATATTAGAAATTGAGATGAGATGTTACAATTTTAAAAGTAATGCAGTTAACGCCATATACAAACTATTTTAATAAATCAACTTAAACAATGTATTTATGCCTTACTTGCTTCTAAATTCTAGCCTATAGAATCTTTTAGTGCTGATGTGTGTTTGCTTGTCTTATGAGACATACTATACTTCTATGCTAATCTTTTTTTGAGTTTTGATTTCTCTCGTGTTTTTGTCCTATGTTAATGTTATTAGGTAGCGATGTGTTCATGTTCTTCATTCTTGATAAAAACACAAACACAGTTTATTGAGACAAGTTGTCTCTCGTTCTTCCTGTTCCTAGCAACTTACTTCCAACTCTCTATTTGCTTCATGGAATCTCTAAAATCAAAATGCAAAACTCTCATCAAAGTGAGCCAATCAGAGAACCAAATCGAGATATTTCTGCATAGATCAAATATATTAAAACGTAGTAAAAGTATTAAAATGTTAATATTTCTATATATTAATGATGGTTTTTGTTTACAGACTATAAACTGTTTTGGAAACCGCAAAAGTGGAAGATCTTTAGTTGTGGAAGTCGATGAGCCATCAAAGGGACTCAAAATCCAGGGAAAGGTTGTGAAAAAAGGTTGTGGTTCATCAGACGGTTTCTGGAGCACAAGTACATATGATATGGATCACAATGACATCATTTCATCACAATCTTCAAATCCGCCTTTTGATCCTCATTGCAGAACAAGACACTCTACCCAATTTGTAAATCATGGTAACTCTTGAATCAATCTTTGGTGTTGTAAGGCCTCGATTGTTTTATAAAAACTTCATTCATTCCATGGAAAAAATAATTTTGAATAGTATAGATGCTAGTAAGTTTGTTTGAAACATATTACACAGTAAGCATAAAATTCTAAACTGACTATGTCACATGAATTGCATATGCATGTAATACCACACATATTATAATACAATGCAACTCTACGTTCGCTTTATCCTTCATTATTGTGATAATTTGCTTTTAAGTTTCCCTTCACAGAAGCAAAGTACTATATATTACTGTTCATCAAAGATTGATTTATTCAATAACTATAGTTACTGTGGATATATATCTTGGAAAAGAGTAGAACAACACCTTTTTACATCAATCTATGATTATAATTAGGCCGCAATATATATAACTAATTCTTATTTCTTCTCATTGAAGGGCTTGCTCAATGGAACCAAACAAGACAACAATGGCGTGAATGCAGAACCAGCCAACAATGCCGAGTTTCGGAACCTGCAATAAGGTGATAACCAATGAACTATCTTCTTACCAAAAATTTGTGACTGGAGTGTATTAGTATGAAGTTTTGGACAAAATTAGGTAAAGTATTTGTTTCTAGGTTTAATATATATGATTGGTTTCTTCAAACTCATGTTAAGATGAAACTAGTACTTCTAATTCATACTCTATGATAAATTTTCAGCTGGGACTCGACATATGATAGCTTATTGAGCACAAACAAGCCTTTTCCTCAACCGGTACCACTTAAGGTGATTGATTATCCATGTTTCCTTCTCAAGAATCAAGACACTAATGATTGTAATACAAGAAAACTTTCATCTGAGATTTTGGATATTTGGTGTTATAGTTGATAAGAAAACTAATTTGAATGACGATTATGCAATGTTATAGGAAATGGTGCATTTTCTTGTTGACGTTTGGGAGGACGAAGGCTTGTACATGTGATACATTTAATAAAATACTTTTTATACATAAGAAGGCAAATAAACACAATTAAATGTTTTATTTCTTCTTGTTCGTTGTGATTCTTTTGTTGTTTTGTAAAACACAATATATATGATTGTAGCTAGTATATATTTCACCGGAGATACATATAATTCAAATAAAATAAAATCCGATTAGGTTTTGGTCTCTAGAACCTGGGATTAAAAAAATGTTACTACCTTGTGTAGTAAGTAATGCAGGGTGTGATTATGTATGTTGAACTTTTCTTTTTCAATATCTTCAAGCATATTATATTTTTGTGGGACAAAAGTTACATAGCCAAAGAAATTGTACAAAGTAGAGAAAGAATACACAGAGCGAATCGCATAACCTCCTGAATATTCACATTTTAAAAATCAAAGCATCAAAAAGAAAAAGAAACGATCTTGTCATAAAAAACCAACTTAAAGATTAACAACAGCACCATCAAACATAGACATATTTGAAAGCAGTAACCTTTTGAAACCCATATGATTCTTTTTCACACTTTTACCCATTTCTTCTCAGATAAGTTTCTGGTCGAAGACACTTTTTTTTTGTCGAAGACACTTAATATATAAATATTATATATATGATTTATGTTCCTCTTGTCCTCCTTAATTAATGCAAGATGAGTCTTGAGAGTAATAGTATATCTTAGTGCTCAACAGCAACCACTTTAGATACCTCAATGGACTCAGCTCTTTCTTCATTCATCCCTGGAGATACAATCTCATGTGAGTTTTCTGCATCAGCATTGGATGATGATACTATCACTTTTGCTTCCTCTTCTATAGAATGTGAAGACTGGTTTATAGTTTCTGCATCTTTTTCAGGTTTCTTTCTTTCAGGTTTCACCTTTGCTGAGGTTGCAGCGGCTTTTCCATCGGGGAGAGCTGTTTTTTGAGATGGCAATCTTGGAAGTGAATTGCGCAACGGTTGCTTCTTGTGATCAACTGTTGGCACAATACCCTTGGAAGTTGAGTTATCTTTAGAGGCTTTCTCATCTAGGCTCAGTCTACCGAGGCGAGGTGTTTGACTTTCTTCAGAATCAGTCTTCTTTCGTCCAAGTTTTGGAGATTTGGGTCTTGTTGGTGGTATCTACATGGAAGTACATAACAATGAGAATTAGAGCTTAACGCAAAAGTGAGAAGAGAGCAGAAGTACCTTCTTTAACTCTGTTTTAGGTGGCTGAGGTTCTTGATAAAAGCTAGGCATGGGTGTGGCTTTGAAGTTCAAGCTCTTCCTTAGCTTCCTAAGCTCAGCTTCTTGTGTTTCCTGCAAGAGTACCACCAGTTTTGTTTCAACAAAAGTAGGTCGAGAAGACTATGACAAAGAAGAGAGTTTAGAAGACAACCTTGGACTTGGCTTGCATGTTATTAATCTCCTCTTCTTTCGCGTGAGTCTTTTCCTCAAGCTTAACATAGAACTGGACCATATGAAAACAGAGATATAATCACTTTTAAACATGTTCCTGGAGAGAGGACAATAGGAAAAGTAAGTGGAACCAAAAGCAAACCTCTCTTCTCTTTTCAGCACGTTGGTCACATTTGAAACTAAACCCATAATTTGGAAGTGCACCAACTTTACGAGGTTTTCCATCGTCTGCTTGCGGGCTACTAAGAAACCATAAAAAGTTATAATCAACATAAATGCTAAAAAAGAAAGAAGAAGTGGTGAAATATAAAGGTGAAGCAAATACTTAGAAGACTGAGTATCATCTTCAGATGTTTCATGGACTTGTTTGTTTTGAGGCTTTGCTTTCACCTTGTCCCTGTATCAACAAGTGAAACAAAGATAAAATGATAAGACTTTACACCAATGCCTAGCCTTCCCTGATTATATTTTTTTTGTTTTACAAAAAGAGGACTCAGTACCCGGTGGCGCTTTCAGCAGGTGCAGATTCTTGCTTTCCATGCTGATATATCACAAGAAACCAGAAATAAAGCATCAGCTAGAAGAAGAGAAAAATAAGATCACAGGAAAATATGCATAAGCCAAAGCAGAGAAGCAAACTGTGAGGGAAGATTACCTCAGTGAGCTGAGCTTCTCTGCAATTAAGTGATGTGCTCTTTGGAGACTTTGTTGTGATGTGTGCATTAGGAACAACAGAACCATTTGTTACTGCAACTTTAGCATCTGCACTTTTGTTCTCTTTCTTCTTTTTGATATGAACCGATGGAACATTCTTACCACCTGATACTTTCTCATGCTTTAGCTTCCTTTGAGCCTTTTGGCATTTAGTACTCTTTGGCTCATCTACATTTTCAACTTGTGTACCCTACACACAAAAAAAAAGTGAGAACAAAACTGTTAACTACAAGTATTTATCTGATGGCCCAGTAGATTAACCATCCAAGAGTTACTAACCTCAGCTGCAACCTCTTTAGAGTGTTCAATTGCATCCAAAGTGGAACTATCTCCTGAATTCTCATTCTGACTTTCTAAAGTAGCATCCAAGGTTTCGCCCGAAGTAACAACATTTTCCATAGTTAAACCACCATTTACAAGAGCAGGTTCAGTCCCATCAGCCACCATGACACTTTCAGGATCCATAGTAAACTACAAAAAAAAACAGATATGGAGCTAACTGATGTAAGTGAAGAGACAAAGAAAGATAATAGCACCAGCACAAATTAAATTCCTGAGCAGAGAAGTTTGCCTAAAAGAAGCATTCACTTGAATGCACACAAACTTGAACCATGTATTGTTATGTGTAAATCAATCAACAGAGAGCAAACATTTCCCCACAAAACCAGATGAGTTTTTAAGGCTTATGAAGTGAAATTTACATATCAATCCTAATACATATCAAGCTACATTCTAAAATATGTTGAACATGAAAAAATATAACTTTCAAAGTTAAGCCATTCCTAATACATATATGTAAATGGATCCATAGACAATACTCAATCAGCTTTAAGTAACATATCGAAGAAACGGCTAATCAAGAAACAGAAGCAAATTTAAAATCAGAAAAAGAAAAAAATCTAAATCTCGTGGATACTGAGCTCAGTAGCTATGGCAAGTGAAGAAAATTGGTTAAGTGGCAGTAAAAAAAAATCGATCTACCGACACTCGGACCATAGCAATGAAAACGGACAAGCCGACAAGCTCCTCAGATTCATAAGAACTTTCATCAGTTTACAAAGTAAAACAAACAAAGAAGAAAGATTAAAAAAAAAGGAAAGAAGAGAACACTAAGACACACATCTTCCTCACCGAATGTAGTCCCAGAGAAAATCAAACATCTATTGAAGCAGAAACCGAAGGAGGAGTACGAGGTTTCATAGAGTTTGAGATTTCGATTTGTTCTTGAGTGGTCTCTGTGGGATGGATTCTCTCGGTCTTTGATTCTGTCTGTGAATTAAAAACAAAAAAAATAAAGAGAGAGCTTTTTTTTTGTTTTCTTTGGGAAGAGAGAAAATGATTAAATGAAATATTTATTACAGTGGCTGTCCGAAATCTAAGTGCCACGTCATCTGGGAAACTACGGTTACTCGACGGTTTTATTATTCTTTTGTAATCGTGGGAGTGATGGAGAGTTTTATATGGACTTAATAATTTCCCACTTATTAATTATTTTCTAATACCTTAATCTTAAGGATCAAACGTTGTAGCCTGTAGGAATCATTTGAACTCTGTAGTTGTTAGCGGAAGTTTTAGACTTTATATTATTCTAAGATGGAAAGATTGTTTTTGACAACACTCTAATCGTTTTTTTACAAAAACAACAACAAACATTGTAATCGTAACAACTTTTTCTATGCGATCGAGTCTAACTGGTCAAATTTTTGAGAAAAGTATAATATTTTTACATGTAAACTATACTGGTAAAGATAAAATCTTCTTTTTAAAAGAAAAATCATAAAAAGGCTTTTAGGTTAGATAAAATTATCTATTAAAATAAACTTTTATTTACCAGGAATCCACAAACGAGTATATTGTGTGAAATTTGAACTTAAGGCATGTGCAGCTTGAAGATTAAACTGAATATTTTAATATTTTAGTTTTGAAGTGGTGCAGTTACTAGCTAATATAGATAGTTTCAAAGAAATTGAATGTAATTAAAGCACAATAGAGTAGGGCTGGGTAATCGGGGTCCCAATCGGATTTCGGTTCGGGTTCATTCGGGTTTTGAGTTTTCGGGTTCATGAATTTCAACCCCATTCGGATATTATAAAAAATCGGGTCGGATTCAGTTCGGGTTTAGTCGGGTTCGGTTCGGGTTTAGTAACATGTCCAAGATCCAGTTGAACCCAAAATAATTTCGGTTTCAGATACTAATCGGGTTATCGGTTCTAAAAATACTAATTTATACTCAATTAAACTCACTATATTTTCAATCATTTTATTAAATTTGTGTATTTAGCTTCTACAAACCATATTGTTCTCCTTCAAAATAATATTGTGAAACTCGTCTATCAACCATATAAGATTTGTCATTGAACTATATGTGACAATACTAAACATATCATNTTCTAAAAATACTAATTTATACTCAATTAAACTCACTATATTTTCAATCATTTTATTAAATTTGTGTATTTAGCTTCTACAAACCATATTGTTCTCCTTCAAAATAATATTGTGAAACTCGTCTATCAACCATATAAGATTTGTCATTGAACTATATGTGACAATACTAAACATATCATGATTAATGACAAACCAAAACCTTGTATGAACGAAATATTATACATAATAAAACATAAAAAATTAAAGTTAACAACAATTCTATAAACGTAAGAAGTACTATTTAAACTTATAAAAAACAATATTATAGAAACTTCAAAACAAATTTATTCGTAACTTAACTTCAAATGTAATGTCAATCATAAACATAAATATTAACTAAATAACACTATATATTAGACTAAATATTTGAGTTAATTATTTATATCCTAACTAATTATTGTAGGTACTCAATAATATATTAATCTGTTTTGGAAAACATATTAGAAATTTAGATTGGATATGATACAAGTTTTTTTGGAATTTTAAAGTTTTGGATTCTTTCGGATATTCATTTAAGTTCGGGTTCGGTTCGGGTAACACCCATAACCCGAAATACCGTAAAACAAGATTCATTCGATACTTGTGTCGGGTTCGGATCGGTTCGGATTCCTTTTTATCGGGTCGGATTCGGTTCAGATTTCGGGTTCGGTTTTTTTACCCAACCCTACAATAGAGGGTAAAATTACGATATCCTCAAGATGTTAAAATTATTTTGTTAATTTCACACATCTTTTTAAAAGATACGTATAGTAATTTATTTACACATGATGAATCTTATACATCTTTTTTGAGTAAAAAAAAAAACGTCATATTTCACTTTTGAGTAAAACACTAACTGAATTTGGATTAGGAGTGTGACTGTATATGGAACTAATAGCGATAATTTTTTGGTGGAAAAAGTGTTACGCTCAGTTCAGCTAATAACTTGCCAATCAGGTGAAAATATATTTTCTCATTATTACGCTTGGTACTATTTAAACAGAGGTAAATATACTACTTTATTCTTTAAGAGGGATAGCAAGTAGAAAATATTACATCCAGAGACACTTTTGAGTTTTTTATATCACCCAGAGACACTTATTGCTCCTAGGACACTTTTTGTTAACAGCTCAATTTATTCCATATATTTATTCTCCTTCTAGTTACCTTCTCAATTAGTTCACGAGCTGTTCAACGTCAATTTTAGCGGGAGACACCTCCCCACCACACATCTTGATTCCATTTGGATGGTCCAGATTTTTTTTTCACTTTATGACAAGACATATATCTGTCTAAATTTCTAACCACAGGATATACCTTTTATTATATTCCATCGACCCTCCACATTATCTCGTCTTAGTAAAGCGTTAATCATAGATTATCACATGTGACTTTTGTTTTCAGATAACAAACCGACGATGAACTCATCTTCTCCGATTACTGCTGCTAAAAGAAGAGGTTATTGTTAAACGTTAACCTATCTTATCCAAACCTTGATAGACAATTTATTTTTTTATAAATTAAAAAAATAGAAACAAAACCTTTGATCAAAGAATAATTTTGTTTAAAGAAAGTAAACCTTTTAGAATTTTTTCTTGTTCTATAAAGATAAAATTTCTAAATATTCATATTACTCTTAATATGGGTGAAGAGAAATATAATTATGATATTATGGTTAAGATGCAAATTTTGCATCTTTACCTAAAATAATTGTTTTTACACACAAAATTAATTTTATGGTTAAGATGCAAAATATCATAATTTGAGAAATATACAAATGAGTCGATGTACATGTATCATTTCATATCATATTATACACATAGACAATATAATATATGTGTACATATTGACGATAATTGACAATATAATATATGTGTACATGTTGACAACATGATTGTACGATACATTGCTTTACGATGTAATAGTAACATTTAAGTGTTCATATTGTACACGTACGTTAGATATGAGAACNTGAAATGAAGATATCATCTCTATCGTTAAGATGCAAAATATCATAATTTGAGAAATGTACAAATGAGTCGATGTACATGTATCATTTCATATCATATTGTACACGTAGACAATATAATATATGTGTACATATTGACGATAATTGACAATATAATATATGTGTACATATTGACAACATGATTGTACGATACATTGCTTTACGATGCAATAGTAACATTTAAGTGTTCATATTGTACACGTACGTTAGATATGGGAACATACTTCCATCACTACTAGTTGTACAATACCATATATAATATTATACATATATATTATTATCAATGTGTACACCTAGGAACGTGTACGCCTATGAACATGTACATGTCAAATGGAATTAAGATATCATCTCTATCGTTGAGTATATTTTTTAAATGTCAGCTTAAAATAAGCATTTTGTAATTTCAGCTAAGATAAACATTTTTTTTCCAATAAATAGGTTTATGGTTAAGTTACAAAATAAGATTTATGGTTTATGGCCAAAAATACAACATATGGTTTTGATTTTTTCTTGACAATATGTACATGTGACTCATTACCTAATTCACTAGTGTACATATAAAATATTGTACACATGGATATAAAATTTTGTGTTCACAGTGCCATGTACATATGACATTTATACAAATATAATTAGAAATAACGTACACAAGAAATGATTTTAAAATATTTGTCACTTCATTTTAATCATTTTTTAGATATGCACATTTGGAAGTATAGACCAAATAAAAAGAATTTATTTCAAAATCAAAAACATTTGTGGTAGAAACAAAAAAAATGGCAGAGACCAAATGCTGTAAAATCAAAATATTTGTTTGTTTAGATTGCACAATTAAAAGTCTCAGATCAAATTCATGGATAAATTTGAACAAATAACAAACTTAAGAGAAATTGGAGAAAAAAAAAGGAGCTGAGAGACTATATGTGCAAATAATCCAAAGTTCACCATTGTTATTCCAGAGAAGTTTTATCTTCCATCTGTGACCAAAAATGGTGGTCCTCTCTTCGATCTGTGACAGTGAGGAAGAGATGACTTGACTTCAACACGGGATCACTATAGAGATCTGACGAAATTGAACTGCGTTTTGTGGTTGACTGCTCCTTCATGTCAGCTATGACAGTTAACGAGGACCTGTTTGCGGATTGAAGTTGTTCTCATCATTGTTGTTTCCATTAAATGTTTACACCATTGTTTCTACGGTTACAATAAAAAATAAAGAAAAAGATAAAATAAGAAATGGGTCCACTTAGTTATACTTTAGTTAGAAAAGAATAAAATAAATTAAAAGAAAAGTACATAGTTAGAAAAAAGTGTCTAAGGAGCACTAACTGCCCTAGAGTGTAATAAAAAACTTAAAAGTGTCCTATGGTGAAAATAACTCTAGCAAGTAATATTGACTTTAATTTTTGTTTTATTATTTTTGTTTTAATCATATTAAATTTTACTCTCAGTTACTCTAATAAATTTACCCTCATTCCCTTCATTTAATTTACTCCAAATTATACTAGTATTTACCAGTCATACCCTAGATAGGACATAAGAAAAAAAATACATGTGAAAAGCTTGGGGTTAAGAAAAGACTTAAGTGGTTGGCCAAAAAAGAAGAAACATAAGTGGGAACCAAGTCCAAATTAATCATGAATGTTATAAGAAAAAGAGACCCGGATATCGGGGGTTTTGGATTTGATTAGATTGCTTTTATATTCTTTTTTGGTTTAAATACAAAGAAAGACATGACCATCTCCAATGTCCACTGATGTCAATTAAAATAAAAAGACCTTCGCATTTTCTTAATCAAATGGTTTACACTTTATGATTGTATAATACAATTGCAGATTATATTGGTCGCTTTAATAAGGTGAACCATATTATCCCCATACTACTATAACAGACTTTCCTCTCTTTTGATAACACATAGTTTGCTCTATGTTGTGAACTTTAATCATTTTGTTAATTAACACATTTAATAAGAAATATTAAAGCCAGCTCATGGAATCTACAGTATTCCCCAGTTTTATGCAAAACAATGACACAAGTGTTGTCCCAACCCGAGAGGTTGTGGTAGGCCAAGATAATTAATTCAAATGAAAGTTAGTGTAGTTATTTCATTGACAACGTAGGAACTAATACTTTACTAGTTATAGTAATTAACAACTAGAAAACCAATTAACAAAGGTGTTGCTCCAAAACTTTTTCTTCCCAACATACATCATGTGTTGTTTTGCTCATCATCATGTCTTCGTACTTCGTACTCCTCCTTCAGTTAATTCTACCTCAAGGTTTCTTTTGCATTTTGCATTTAGAAACTTAAAAATGAAGTACATATGCTTTAATGAGTGACGCTCATTCTTTTCAACAGTTTTGTAAATTGTCGAACATTTATTCATTTGTTCGGCCAGACTTACTGCATAATAGTTTTATTGGGGGGGGGGGGATTCGTTGGTAGGAAAAATATATTAAAAGCAAACCTACAACACTTTCACACGAAACAATCTGATAGAATTTGAGATGTTCTTTTTGATGTGAATGTAAATATCATTAGAGATAATGAACAGTTTGACAGAAAGATCCTTGAAAATCAAAGCACTTGAATCTAAGTTGCTAAATATATATATATAGCCAAAAGTCTAAGGAAGCCCCAAAATATGTTTTATTTTAAAATCGAACATTTGTTTGTAACTTTGAAAAGAAAATTTTAAAATCGACGAAATCTTGAATCTATCCGTGACTTGAAACAGATTAGGTGTCCATATATATTTTGTTGACAGTATATTATAATTAAGGGTACTAGGTGATTTTCTCGTGCTCATGCACGGGTATAAATATTTTTAAAGTAAATATATGATAATAATTGATTGCTATTTAATTTTAATTTTAAATTAATTTATAACTTCTATGCATCATTTATATTAATAATATTATATTACTTAACTATACTATAATTTTATATATGTTATATCTAGTTGATTTTGTTGTTTTTACGGTTGATTTAATTATCATTTAGATAAATTGGATTGCATCTCTGAATTTAACTGTAATATTTTTTAAAATATATTAATTTTTAATTAATTACTTATTTTCATATAGTGGGTGTTTTCTTAGATATGTAAATATAATTTAGAAAAATTAACTAAAGTGTATGATTCCAAAATACATAAATTAATATAGCAATAATATTCTAAAGTCTTATGCATATATATATATATATATATATATATATATAAATTTTACAAAAGAACTAAAATTGTAAGATTTATTTTCATTTGTTAATATGTTTTGAGTTATCCTATGATCAATAGAAGATTACATGCATAAGTAGTTGATACATTTTTGGAAGCTCATGAACATATATCAATATTTCTAATAATTAAAATATTTATAAATTCTAAATAATTTTATGCTTTAGATTTATTGAATGAAAACTGAAATTAATTTTAAATGATCTTAAAATTGTGAATTCATATTTGCTTTGGTATTCTGATTATGATTATATTTAGTTTCACAAACATAAAATTTAAAAGAAAAATTATTATTAAGAAAACAAATAATTTTAGTAATGATATAATATCATATATCTAGCTCATTAAACTAATTGTTAATTATTGATCAAGCGATGTTTATTGTTAAATTTATTTTTAGTTTTTAATATCTCTTAAAAATAAGCATTACACAAAATTGTGATTGTATTTAAAAATAATATTATATAAGTGAAATATAATTTATAGATAATTTTATGTAATTGAAAGATATTATAGCCAACTAAATATATGAAAGAAAAAATCAATAACACTAATTATAAACTATTTTTATTACTCTAAAAGTATATTTTATGTTAGTTAAAAATATTTTTAAATGTATTATTACTATTTGGTGAACTTTTCTTTTTTTTAAGAAATCATAATATATACATATATTTTTTGTTTTCAATTTGTTATATGATTTTATAAAAAAAATCCCTTTTTATTACAGATACTTTTGGAAATTTCTGAAAAAAAAAAACTAAACAAAAGAATTAATAATATTATTTTTAATTTATTAAGGGTATCAGTATAATCAACCATCATGAGAATAAACGTGAGAGCGACACATAGGAAACTGATTTCACAAATAATATTATAGAGATATTACAAAACATTTGGAGAAAACATCGATACTCCCATGTTCCCCACTAGTTAAGTTTAATGTTTTTTTATTGAGGTCATAATAATTGAAAAGGACTATTTTCTTTAGTAGAAAAAGTTGCAACAAGTAACAAAGAAGTATGATTTTCCTGATTAGCACTAAACGAGAGAGTGATTAAATAGGAAGCAAAGTGATTAGACACAAAAACCTCTTTTATTAAAAGAGACAAGCTGGTCCAGCGATTAGGGTAAGATACAGGTACAACTGTGACACCCTTCCTTTCCTGATGTTTCTCAATCTAGAATGATTTTTATTCCATCATTTCTATCTAATCCCAATTACTTTCTAAATATGTTGTTCAATGGTTTATAAGAATCTATATAATGACAAATAATCTTGCATAAACAATTAGGGCTGAAAACAGTTAGAATAATGTTAGTAGTATAATGACAAGGAAAAACGAGTAGTATAATTTTCCAAGAATGTTTTCAAACACTCAAGAACTAACAAAAGATGAAATTAGTCATCATAACATTTTGCATTTGGCCCCAGCATTGACCAGTTTGATATAAGCACTGGTGAAGTCTATTAAGAACTTGTCCTGGTCTTCCGCATATCGTTTCACTAGTTTCTAGTTTTGTCAAGAAGCACCTTTATCCTCCAAGTGTTCAGCACATATTACTCCAGTCTACTTAAAAATGTTACTTGAGAAAATCAGAGAACTGATAAAATAAGAACTTTATACAGAAGAGAAACCTTAAGCAGTCATCATCCTCCACGAGAGAATGATCATAAGGAAGTCACACCAATCTTTATCACTTTGGCAGATGTTGGTCATGGGCACAACCCAGTGAAACATTGATGTTGGTCTCTCAAAATTTTAAGAGGTAACAAACATATAGACATAAGCTTTCGGAACATGGAACATGGCATATGATAAAACTCGGAACAATAGATAACTAGAGACCACAACTCTTTTAATTTTAAACACAACACAATATATATACAACAAAATATAATGAGCCTAAAACCTATTTAACATACTAAAATAGGCTAAAAACAAGAGTGCTATTATCTCGGACCGGAGAGTCTCACGGCGGAGATATAATTCTCACTGTTACAATCCGACGGTCCAGATGACGTACCACCACCTTCCTCACTGATAGACTTAAAGAAACTAGAGTAAAGCCTCGAGCCCAAAGTGGAAGAAGACGGTGGCTGAACCACCGGAAAAACACCTTCAAGCATCTGAACAACTTTACTCATCGACGGTCTCAAATGCATATCTTCTTGTATACACCAAAGCGCAGTCTTCATCGCCCTTTGAACTCTCTCATCATCAACATCAACGTTCTTCATCTTCCCATCAACAATCTCCAAAAGCTTCCCTTCTTCCATCATCTTAAAAGCATAAGAAGGAAAATGACACTTCTCTGATGACTCTGATGGATCATAGTTCTTTCTTCCTCCTATCAGCTCCAGCAACACCATCCCATAGCTGTAAACATCACTCTTCTCCGAAATCGCGTAGTTTGTGATCCATTCAGGAGCCAAATACCCTCTTGTCCCACGCATAGTTGTGAAGACATGGCTCTGTTCACGTGTCATAAGCTTAGCTAGTCCAAAATCAGATACCTTGGCGCTGAAGTTATCATCTAAAAGGATGTTCTCAGGTTTAATATCACAATGGATGATCCTTGCGTCGCAATCTTCATGTAGATAAGCTAAACCTTTAGCTGTTCCGACCGCAATGTTGAACCTTGTGTCCCAATCCAACAGGATATCTCCATCTCTTCTCTTGAATATCCATCTCTCTAACGAACCTTTAGCCAAAAACTCATAAGCAAGAAGCCTATGAGCTCCTTCTGCGCAGAAACCCCTGAGCCGTACCAAATGGAGATGATGAATGCTTCCGATGATACTAACCTCGGCTCTGAACTCTTTCTTTCCTTGACCTATTCCTTCAAGCTTCTTAACTGCTAAACGTGAACCATCAGGTAAAGACCCTTCATAGACTGATCCAAACCCTCCTTGACCTAACTTGACAGAGAAGTTATTCGTCGCTGACTGAAGATCTTTATAAGTAAACCTAATAGGCATCCCAGATAGATTATCCAAGAAGTTATCCTCATCTGAACTCTGTTCTTGATTTTGATCATCATCCAAAACCGTTTTCTTTCTCCTAAGAATCCTAAACGCCACAAAGATCAACACACCAATGATCAAAACCGTCCCCAAGACAATAATCACTATATATGGAAAACCTTTCCCATCATCATCTCCCTTATCTCCACCTCTCTCACCATTAGTAGCCTCCTTGATATAAGAGACAAAACCAGAGTCTCTGTTTGTAGAGGCTTTAAAGCTCCCAATCCAATCAAACAAGAAGCAGTTACCAGAACTGTTCTGAAAGAAAAGACCGAGGCACGAGCAGTTGCTATTACAGAACTCTTTACATCTATCAAGATTGGTCTCCTTGGAGAAGGGAGAAGCAAACCCTAGAGCGAAATAGTCAACCTTGTCTCCAGCATTTACAAGTTTCACAGACAACGTTTCATTGTTCTTACAAGGAGAAGTGATACCGGTTTTGCAGTCAGACCTACGTGGCAACCCGGACACACATCTACACACTTTACTACCAGAGCAGACGTAGTAAGGGCCACAAGGCTCAGGCGTCGCACACTGATCGTTTGGTATTTTAATGGAAGAATCAGCCGCAGAGACACCACTCTCAAGACTTGTAAAAGAGATCACACCGTTGTTTCCCAAAACAGCGATCATAGTAGCGTTATCACCTCCATTGTTTGACATCAAAAACTGCCATAACAAAGTTTTTTTCTCATCAAAGAACCTCCACGAGTTCCCAAGTAGAGACGATGATGTCACTACACCGTCTTTTTCAGGGATCCTCCCGCTATCACTTCTCATGGACCAATACACTTGAGGTGTCAAGCTGTTGACAGACAAAACCATATCTCCTGACTTAATCTCAAGAACATAAGTCATGTTGCTTAAAGAAACATTGCTAGTGAGCTTCATGCCTTCTTTAAAGACTTGATTGGTAATAAGAGTGTCTGTTGGATGATCAAAACTCTCCCATATCGAAGCTCCGTCACCGGAGACGACAACTAGGTTCCCTGAGTCACGTAGCTCGATTCTTGAAGCGTTTTTGCCTGAATTATCCAATCTCCAAACCTCTCCTCCTCCTCCTTCTTCTCTACGTAGAACCACATTCCCGTTGTCTTGGAAATGAAGATTGTCGGAATTGGAAACAGGGGAAGCTCTGTTCGCTGACCAGATCAGTTTCGAGCTGCTTTTGTGGATGATGCTGAGTGTGAACAGAGTAACGGAAGCTGGTGTGGTTACGAAACCGAAACCGAATTCTTTGTTGATGGATTCGAGGAAGATACCGTCGTTGTTGATGTAATTCATCTGAGATCCTTTAAACCCTGGAGTGATGCTTCCATTGTACGGTACACCGCCGTGTAGAGGATTAGAGAAGAAAGCTAGACATGTTAAGAAGATGAAGAAGAAGCCTCTCATGGCTTGAATTTTATACAAATATTCAACCTAATAAATATCAAAAAAATTGTGGTTCAGGTTGATGGATCTGAGAAAAGATAAAAATATTCACAGAAAGATGCAAAAAGATTTTGAAAAAAAATATTCAGGAGTTGGATAATTTTAGGGGTTGGAAAGTTGTGGTTTATGTTTTGTCTCTCTGTTTTACATTGAATGATGTTTGATTTTGGGTCTTTGATAGGGAGGAAGAAGACAACTGGTGCTGAAACAGAGAGATAGAGAGCGACGAGACGAGACTGTGATAATTAAAATCTTTACTTCGAATTGGTTTGCTTTTTATGTTTGCCTCTTGTGACCGTCACAATAATTTTTGGACAGATCCGAGCACTTGTGTCTTTTCAACCAAACATGTTTTAGAAAATTTCCAAACTCCCTGTGACTTTGACTTTTCAAATAAGAAGAGGAAGACCCATGTCATTGACTGTAACAACTAATAAGAGGGAGGATTGTAGAAAGGTTTGTATCTTGTAAAGTTGTAATGGAATATGAATACTTCTATTCTTTTGTTTTTAATAATTTTGTTGAATTAGGCATGCTGATTCTGTTTGGTTAGTTCGGCTCGTCCATAAAATCTCACCGAATTGAATTGAAAAAATAAGAGTTTCAAAAAATAATCAAGTTATGTTAGCTGAGTTCGACATAAATTTCACCTAAGTGAATAGGAAAAAAATGATTCGGTTAGGTTCTTGATTATTTTGATCTTTGAAAATTATACTAAAATTGATGGATCTATTAATTTTCAGTTTAAATTTGTTAGAATTTCTCAGAAAATTACGATTAAATTTGGTTACTTTTGGGTAGGATTGTTTGAAAACTAAACTGCTTTAAATTGTGTCATGATAGTTGTTATGCCTTATAAAATTCGAATTTGAGTTATTACAAATAAATGTGTATTCGAGATGACCATTCATACTACAGATAAATGTGTGGAAAAGTAGATGAAGTGTGAATGTTAAGGTGCACTAGACAAATCCTCTGTGTCTTTTCTTACTTTTCAATACATTGAGGTTATTAATGTTGAAATCTTCAATATACCCCTGGTGGATGAGAGAGAGACCAAATTACTCCTTTTTCACGACCGACGTGTGGTTTGGTTTGACTTTAATGGTTAGAATCTTTTGAGGAGATCTAGCAATCAACCTCTTTTTCAGTAGCCATCGTAATTGAATCATAGTACATCTCATAGTATATACTTGAATACGTATATTTTATTTATAAATTGGTATTTCGTATTGTATCCGATCCCAAAATTTCTTAAAGTTTAAGGTAGGTTTTAAATTCAGCTATTTACGAGGATGTGAATACGCCACAACTCATCCAATGATCAAAGGAATCATGATGCAAAAATGAGAAGAGAAATATTAAACTCTTTGCGTCCGCGGAGGTCCCATATATTATTAGTATTTTTATATTAAAAATTAGTAGTAATAACTGCTCATATGCAAATACAGTTGGGGGTTAACTTGGTTAGTGACTCACAGTCATCTATGCCTACGCCCATTCAAATTCCAAGTTATAAATTATTCGAATAGCCAAGTGTTCGATATTTATTTAACATTTTTACCAAAAAAGAAAAGTGTTCCATATTTCAATACTAGTGAAGACGAAGAAGCAATGAATTATTTTTTTTTTGTAACGACCGGAGTGGTCTTAGAGCATGTAATTAAGCACTTTTCACACACTCTCTCTTCAAATTAAGAACATCTCTCTTCCTAAGCAACTTTCTAAAGACCATGCATTAAACATGCTCTTATTCATTTGCATGTCACAGCAATCTGTGACTGCACGTCGCATTTATTATTTATTTTTATTTTTGAAAATGAAGTCGCATTTATTATTATTCATTTTGCTTTGCTGTTATAGGATTGATCGCGCAATCAGGTTACTGACCGCAGGTTGTGATTCGTTTTGATGTCGCACGACTGCTTGCGTGATTAGTCCTCGCGGTTTTAAATCTCTAAAAAAATTAGCGATTAAAAATATTTTTTTGCGCGATCTGCTTATGACCAATAAATTACCGTAATAAAACGAACAGCATTTCGTCGCAAATCGTAGGTTTGGTCACAAGTTGCAATCGCATGTTGCTGCAATATGCAAATAAAAAATGCCAGTGATACAAAGAACACTAGAGGATTTTAAGTCCCCTTGAAGGAAAAGCAATGCACGTACCCCCTCTAAAGGAAAAGGAATGCAAGTAATATTGTCTTGACAAGTTTCTTAATAGTTATGCACTAACCTAAAATTTCAAGTATTTTTCTTTCAAAAAGAGAATAATATTTTCTCAAAAATATAGAGGTTTTTAAAACCTTAAATGCAATTTCCTCAAACATGTATCTTTCCTTTGGCATATATATATATATATATATATATATATAGATATATAATTATGTATATCTACTGACTATTATCATGTGCATTTATATATTTCAGTTATCAGTATACTGTCAAAAATGTGTTCTCATCTTCTTCTAGAAGTATTGTTCTTCCAGTTTATAAGTCCTTTGACTTATAAGCTCATCTTGCAAAAAAAAATGGTCTCAATGATTTCTAAATGTAAATGTGCCGGTGGGTTACTTTGTCAAGGACATGCTGACATATACATATTCATTCTATACCTTATTAAATTTACAAGCATTATCTATTAGTTAGATAATGTCATTATGAATGTATGGGCCACTGAAGCATCTCACCTTGTAACCCTATTTTTAAAAATAGTATAGTAAGATATGTCGAAGTAAAGTTTTGGTCGAAATGCTAATTATAAATCTCAAACAAAAAAATAGTTGTAAAATTCATTAAAAAAATTCCAATGTGAACACAAAACTACTTTATCGAGGTGGTTTATTTTGTCTCTGTTATAAGAAGTAAAAGTGAGTGAGTTCACACATTTTGTTTTCCTTTAACCTACTGGAACACAGATAGATTGTTTTACAAGAATAATAAATAGATACTTAATTTTTGAATAACCTTTGAATATGATTAACGATATTCTATCATCATTTGTTAATCACGCAATTATAAACTAAATCTTGTTCGTGGTACGTCAATGTGACATAATGTTCACCTCATTTCCTTACCAACTTTAATTTGTATTTGTTACTTCATCATATTGCTTATCATTTTTAGTATTTTTCCTTATATATAATATAATTTATTTTAATACAATTGTACAGAAGTAAGAGCAATCTCAATAATGTTATGAATAGGCGTTGCAGTAGAAACTGATCTTTTTATCAAGAGTAGGAGGACAAGATCAACGATTAATATTAAAGACCGTAAATTTGGTGGTCTAAGAGCATCTCCAATGAGTGGGACAAAACCTGATGAGGAAAAAGAGTACAGCGCATACTACTCCCATGGTGGTCGGCTAGTTCTCAGTACCCGGAATGGGTTGATGGAATGAGTGAAGAGTGGGATCTGGACCGAGTTCTGATGTGGAGATGGTGTAACCGGCTCGGTTCTGGCTGAGTGGTCGGAATTGGATTGGACCGGCTGATTCTTGAACCTCCGTTGGGCCGGTCCGGTCTTGGATCTTCAATTGTACCATGTCTTCAATCAGCAGTTGCATCTGGCCGGTTTGCTCGTCTTGATCAAGGATTTGCTGGACTGCTTTGGAGAAACCCTCTCGTAGTGCCCTGGTTCCACTCCTGGTTGTTGGGCCTCGCCTGATCACGGGAACCTCTACTTGGATGGCCTCATCATTCCCTCCCTCTTGAAAAGGTTCTGGCCTCAGAACTCCATCATCTGCAATAAAAAGGGACAAATCCGAGACATTGAAAGTATGGGAAACTTTAAATTCATCAGGGAGATCAAGGATATAGGCATTGTCGTTGATCTTCTCGCGGACTTGGAAGGGGCCGGTTCCGCGGGGAGAGAGCTTGGACTTCCGTTCGTTTGGGAACCTCTCGGGCCGCATGTGTAGCCACACCCAATCTCCGGGTTTAAACAGCATCTC